CGGAACGTCTGCCCTGTGAGCACAGGCTGAGGGAGCTGCGCCTGCTCAGCCCGGAGAGGAGAAGGCTGAGGGGGGACCTGAGCAGTGTCTAGAAATACCCCAAGGGAGGCAGTGAGGAGGAGGGGGCGGCCTCTTTTCAGTGGTGGCCAGCGACAGGACTAGAGGAAACGGCCACAAGCTGAGGCACCAAAAGTTCCACAGGAACTTGAGAAAACACTTCTTGACAGTGAGGGCGGCAGCCCTGGCACAGGCTGCCCAGAGAGGCTGTGGAGCCTCCTTCTTTGGAGATCTTTACAACCTGCTGGACGCAGCCCTGTGTCCCGTGCTCTGGGTGACCCTGCGTGAGCAGGGGGTTGGACTCGATGACCTCTGAGGTCCCTTCCAACCTTGGGCATTCTGTGATTCTACATGAGGGGGGATGCAGGGAGGAAGGGTCACCTGACACCTTCCGTGTCACCAGGTACAGGACACCCGGCTCCTGCCCGGCTCCGTGTCCCCTCTGTGTCACCCAGGACAGGACACCCTGCTCCGTGCCTGCGCTGCCCGCCCTGCAGCAGCCCCTGGGCGGGCGCCCGTGCACCCTAGGCTGCACTCCTAGGCCGGGCAGCAGAGCTTGCCACAGCCTCCGCATGGAGCCTGGCTCACCGCATTGTGCAAAGCAACACGTTGCTTTCTATATAAAGCTACTTTCTATGGCTTTATATAGATCCCTAATATGCTAATAAATGGAAGAACTGGCTGTGCAAGTTCTAAGAATGAGCCTGATTAAAATACAGTAACATATGCTCTTAATTTCTTAGCGAGACATTTGGGTAACCTAGATAAATGTTACAGGCAGAAAAGTGAACAGACATGTAAATGAGAGCAAACACAAAAGACGACGACGGAAATTCCCCATGCTGCGAAGGGCTGAGTTGCTCAGATGCACCAGAATGGGAATCCCTTGCGGAAGACGAGTTCGTGCTGGAGGAAGGGGCTGAGCGCGGGGTGTGCGCAGGAGCCCAGGGAGGCAGCACGGCGGGCGCACGGGGTGCTGCACTGCGCTGTGCTGCGGCCGAGGGCTCTGCGCCGCGATGCAGCGCGGCTCCGGAGCCGCTGCAGCTGCGCCGCTGCTCTTAGCACCTTCGAAAATACAACTGGCACTATTTACACAAACACCGATGGGATCCCACAAACATGGGATGCTTCCACTTCAAGGAATGTTTACCAAGGGATTCTCTGTTCTTTTAGAGGGCTTCTTCCAAGTAAACACAAGCTTTTCCAGGCAGTCTGCCTTCTTGATGAAGAAAACACATGAGTATGTATGCATGCAGCACAGGAACAGACCTTTCATCATCCCAGGCGTGCTGGTGTTCAGGAGGGTCTTGCCATACTTCATGCTTCCTCTGCACTTTTGGAATAAACAGTAGCATTTTTGCTTAGAAACCATTTCCCTCAGCTCATTGGAAAGCGCCACTGCTGAAGCTACTGGCACTTCAGGCTGCTCGCTGCCACATCTGCACAGCTCCATTAGCAGCAGGGAAGCTGATCCTGATTTATACTGGCAGGAGAAGGAAACAATCCCCATGTCCCATTCCTCACTCCCTGTGCCTGGAAGGCAGGCAGAAAGGGAAGTGCAAGTAACCTGGAATGATAACCTGCAGGGACGATGCCTGCCGGTGAGCTTAACCGGGAGACAAAGGATCAAAAATTCAAACATTATCTTCAGATTCCCTTGTTTGATAAGAAGGGAAACCTAATAAGGATTAGGTTAAATAATTCCTGATACAATTCCTTTCCTTGAAAGAATAATAGCAGGATTTGTCTGGCCAGGCCCAGGCTAGGTACCACTTCTCCCAGGCCAGTGAGTGAAGAGTCGCTCTCCTGGTTAAGTATCAGTGAGATTTTGATGAGATGCAGCACAGGTCATAAGCAATGTATAAAAACCTGGTGAGTTTGAGTATTTGTAATTCAGTAGGTTAGAGATAAATTCGTAGCTGGAGAAATGAACAAAAGAGCTGATTTCCTGAAATCAGTGAGAAAAAGAGAATATGCAAAAGTAAACACAGATGGGAAGAATCTTCCAAACACAGATCCCAGGTCTGCCTTTTGCCGGTCCCTCCTTGCACCTGGCTCCGACAGCCTGCGGCGGTCCTGCGACCCACTCCCGCTGCTGGTACCTGTTCGTTCTGCTCCTGGAAGGTGGCGGAGGCACCTTTCACTGCACGGGGCTATCCTGGTTGTGAAGCCTGCTATTAGACATGTGTATTGTATTCGGAATGGATCTAAAATACCTAAAATTGGCAAGATTATCCAATACCATGTACATTAAGTCTTTGCAAATTAAATATAAATTTGCCTGTACTAACGAAATGAGCAGCTGTGGTGGTTTTGCCCAAAGGAAAGGTCACCCCCCTACCATTTAGAGACCAATAATAATAATATAATGAAGATCCTGTTTACTGATAGTGGTTTACTGTTAGCGGCCCAGATTCTTTGCCATGCCATAGAAGTCTGGGGTAGCTTTGCCAAATTATTTTTCTCATATTGCTGTGACTATGAATTAGGCTATGAATTCTGTAGGCAGACTTCGTAAGGATGACCATCATTTCTCAATTTTTGCAGTGTTTTTTTAGCACATATATGTATAACAATGGTTGATTTCCTATAATGCAGGAGTAAATAAGAGGTTCTGATTTTATTTAGCTTATATCAATGTCAGGAATTTTGAGTAGCATGTATTGGCAGAGCTCTGAATTGCACTGGGAAAAAACCTCAAAACCCTATTTGACTTTATAATGTTGAAACTGTATTATCTTTATAATGTAGCATAGCTTAAGAAAAGCTGGTTGAAACATCTTCCATTTCCCAGGTAAAAGAATTAAGAAGAAAGGTGAAATGAAATTCTCCTTTGAAATTCGAACAACCAAATGCTTATTTCTCCCATTTTTCCACTACTTTAGTGAATCTTGTATTTTTAGAAAAAAATCTACACTATGGATTTGATTGTCCAAATATTAGTGGGGAATGAGAGAGAAATGACACCTGAATGGCAGATGCACTAAACCATTTGAAGGCGCCTCTCAGGCTTTTCCTGTAGAATGGAAATGAAAAGGAAGGAGTGAAAGCTGATAGCTCAGAGATTTGCAATATGTTTAAAACCAAAGCTATCCCTAAGCAAAGTAAAAATTACTACCCGTGTTCTGTCTTTTTATCTGAGAGCTATTCTTCCTTATTTCTGGTAGAAATTCTTTTAACAATTATTCTTTGCCTTTGGGAGACAGTTCTTAAATTATACTCTTTGGGGCTTTTTAAAGTAATGACAAATTCTTAGCAAATATCCTATAAAGAATACAGTAAGAGTACAATAACTAACATATATCCATTGCAAAGCCCAGTATAGAAGAAAGCAGCATACGTTTTAAATTGCAGTAGTAGTTATGAGCAGCATCTCAGAAACTGTCGAAGCACACATGGGATAACAAATGCAATCTAATGGCTGAAGAGCTGTCATTTCCTTGACGATCCTGCTGTCATTTGTTAACACTGGAAATTATTTCTGAGAAATGTATTTAATTAGGCATTGCACGAAACATTTCACTTCTACAGGCTGAAAAGATGGCACTGTACGGATGCTACTTCTCGATGCTCAGCAAAGGCGAAAGCAAGTCTGTAGGAGATTAGAGTGAATTCTCATTATTTTTTCGAGGACCCTGCTGCAATACTGATTTTTATCATCTGGAGAAGCAGCAAATCCCTGGAGGTGGTGAGGTGCAGCCACGGCTGGGCGCGTGCGAGGTGCAATGCACACAGCCTCTGCAGCACACGGAACTGGTGAGGTGCAGCCACGTCTCAGCACGCGCATGGTGCAATGCACACAGCCTCTGCAGCACATGACACCATGCAGCACGGCATGCAGCGCGGCTCCCGTTCAGCGCTTCTGCTCGTTCATCGCGCCCTGCAGCAGCGATAAAGCGTGCGGGCACCTGCTTGCTGGCCAGTCCCTGCCACAGCGGCCACGGAGCACTCTCTTCTCCTGGGAGCTCTGCACACACCTGCCTCGCGTGCCTGGTGTTATCCCAGGCGCTTTTGTTGCAGCTTTGTGGTGGTTAGCAAACACAGTCATCGCAGCCCCAGGCCTGTTCTGCTTCCTCCTCCTCTCTATTGCAGTTTCCCGTGTAACATCTCAGGTGCAATGCAATGAATATCTCTGTTATGGTGGATCCCTTATACAAGACACTGATTTTCTAAACTATCTGCTAGCTTAAGTGAAGCCCTTATCTTTGCAACGTTGAGCAAGCAGTGTGTCCATCTGCAAGATGCTAGGAGCGGCAGGGAGCAGGGGCCCGGCCCGCCGGGCCACGCCGGCGCTCGGGGCTGCGGCTCCGGGGGGAAGCGGCCGCTCCCCGCGGCGCTGGGGCGGGCGCTGCGGGCACCGGTACCGGTACCGAGCTCGGCCGGCGGAGCGCAGCGGAACCGGCCCAGCCCGGCCCGGCGCGCACGTGGCGGCGGCGCCGGCGCTGCCCGCCGGGGGGCGCTGCGCGGTTCGGTTCGGCGCGTCCCGCCTCGCTCCGCGTCCCGCCCCCGGGCGCCGCTGCCGCTGCGGCTGCGGGGCGGGCGCTGCTGCGGGGCGGGCGCCGCTGCCATGCGGCCGTGAGGGCGGCGCGGAGCGGCGCGGAGCGGGGCCGGGCGGCCGGCGCTGCTGCCATGCGGCCGTGAGGGCAGCGGCGGGGCCGGGCGCGGGGCCGGGGCCGGGCGCGGGGCATGCCCGCCCGCCCGCCCCCCGCCGTCCCGCGCGCCTCCCGATGTTCCACTGGGGCAAGTGGAAGAAGAGGATGGGCGCCAGCGCCTCCGCCGCCAAGAGACCCGTGTTCGACGAGCGCGAGGACGGTGAGCGGCGGCGGCGCGCCGGGAGGGAGGGAAAGAGGGGAAGAAGTACCTGTCCGAAAAGCACCCCCTTTATTTATTTATTTATTGGAAATGGGACGTTTTTCCTTAAATTCCGCTCTCGGGGGCGCAGGCAGCCGCGGAAGCTCCCGTGCCGCGCTCACGGCGCGTGGCTCGGGTCCCGAGGGCCACGCCGAGGAGCCGGCGGGGAAGGAGCGGGACCTCCCGGGCGTCCCCGGGCCCGGCACGGCGCGACGCCCTGCAGGGACCCCGCTGCGAAGCGCCCCGCTGCCGCCGGCCACCGCGGGCACCGCGCTGGCCGCTTGGGCACCGCACCGCGCCGTGCGGGCACTGCACGGGCCGCCGCGGGCACGGCCGCGGTGCGGGGCCGCCTGCCCGGCCTTGCGGCGGGTTCCCTGCTGCCCGGTACCGGGCGCGGGGCCGCCGTCCGTGCCGGCGCTCGCGCGGTGCCCGCAGCGAGCGGCGCTGCCCGAGCCGCAGCCGGCCGGTCGGGAGCGCGGCCGCGCAGAGCCAGGCGGCTGCGGGAAGCAGCGCCCCGAGGCCCTGGGACGGTCCCCCCTGTCGTGCGCGAGCCGCGCTCGCGTGCGCCGAGCTCCGCTGGCTCCTGCTGCCCAGCTGCCCCGGCCCCGTGCGCCTCCCTGCTCGGTGGAGCGGCCTCTGCGCCCCGCGCATGCTGGCCAGCAGAAGCGACCAGCAAGTCAGTGGAAGGCACCGACATCGGAGGCTTTGCTAGCTCAGGAAGCGTTCAGTTTGGAGCTGAGCCTGTGTGCAGCTACTACAGAGAGCAACGCGAACTGTGCGGGTGAGCAAGTGCGCTCACACATCTCCCTGCTGAACTGAGGTGCTCTCTGGCAGTGCCTGGCAATAGTGGGGGCTTGTCATGTTTTAATCTGCTAATATTGGCTGCTTTCTAATCGCTTGTCAGTGCTTGGAGCAGCGACAGTGCTGTCCTGGTGAACTTGTATTTACTGGCACAGCATGGTTGCTATGGAGATATCTTAAGACATTCCAATAACTTCCTTAAATAAAGAAGCCAGTTAATACTTCGGTTTTGTGTATGACATAACGTGAAGGAGTTCTTTGTCCTGACAGCTTAAAGGGGAAAAGAAACCGAGCAAAATAGGTTAGTTTGCAGAATTTACCAGTGGGTTCTCAATGCTGGTTATAGAAAAGAATGAGCCTACCTGAAATCTGAAGTGAATTTTTATATTGACCTAAGCTCCTTTCATAATTAGAATTAAGGTTAACGTCTGTTCTAGTGAGTGATAATGCAAAGTCCAGAATATACCTTTGTATAAATAACTACAAATACATAGACTGTAAGGAAAAATAAATACTAGAGTCCTCCTGGCTGACCCTGTTAGGGTGGTTGCAAGACTCTACCGAGTGATGGTGCAGGCCCAGCAGGTGCGGCCGAGCAGGGCACAGCCTGGGTCGGGAGGCAAATCCTCGTGGTGCCCATGTCACAGAGCCGCTCTGCGCTGAGTGCGTTTAGCCGCCCTGTTGCACAGCGGCACTTTCCATGGGCTGCTTCCACCCTAGTTCCACGGCTGCTCTTGGCTGTTGGCACCAGAGATGGGAGCGTCTCCTGTGTCGTTTTCCTGTCTTTGTGCAGGAATAGACTGACCAAAACCGCCCGGCTAGCTCCTTGGTAAGTCACGCGGAGCTCTCTGAATTTCTGTTTCTGGAGGTAAATGATCTATTTCTGAGTCTGTCTTTTGCTTTTTCTCTTAGTCCTCCCTGGTTCTGACTTTCCTTAATACTAGAGCTGAACTTTTTTTTTATGTTAAGTTTTTCAGGACAGTATTCTCCTTCTTATCGGAAAATCCCAATTTCTCTGAATTTTGAACTTGGTGCAGGCGAGTGGGATCTATTCCACAGAACTTTATCTGAACTCCCGCAAAGGAAGACGTAACATGCTCTTTTTCTGACACAGGTGTTTTGGTCTTGTGTTTGAACGCAGCATTCACATTTTCATGCTTCGTGTTTGCTGATACAACGTTTGAGATATTTTGGAGCATTTCTGAGTTACGATGCAGTTAATGGGAAAGCTGCCTTTGAGAGGTAAATACCTTCATGCCTTCTGGTTCCGTACAGAAAGGCCTAGTGCCTGCGGGCACTGGCTCCTCTTGCTGCTACGAATGCTGCCCTCAAGCAGTGATGTCTCTGTAGCAGGTGCCCGCAGGGTGCTCGCTGGCACTCGGGCCGGGGGTTGGCCCAGCCGTGCCTGGGCTGCTGGCTGGGGTTCCGCGGGGCCAGCGAAGCGCCGGGGCTGCGCCGAGAGGGCGCGCGTCTCTGCAGCTGCACTCACCGGCGCAGCCTGTCCCACTCCTCACTTGTGCTCACCCCTTTCCTACCCAAACGTTGCCTCACAAAAGCACACGTGAAACTTTTGTTTCTGGTCGCAGTTCTCTTTGTGCAAATCGATCTCTAATTGCTCTAATTGCTGCTTGCATGCACGATGAAGGCTGCCACCCCGTCACTCTGCGCGGCTGGCTGCGGTGCCTTGGGCTGTAGCATCGAACAGACCAAGTCAGACTAGAGCTGGGGTGGCCTCAGCAGCCTGAAGGGAGCCATCCTAGGCCTGCGAATTTGTGGTATGTGCTTGGCGTCTCTATACCTGTCACCCTGGGCTGTTTCCCCTCAGGAAAATAGGTCTCTGTCTGTAAGGCTTTTTTTTGTTTTGTTTTCTTCTCTATTCCTGTAAGAACCTTATCACTCTATCTGTGAATTTCTTCACCAAAACCGAAGGTGACAAGGTCTGAATGCCGCATTGACCCTGTTTATTCCCTTCCCCTCCAAGTTATTTCCCAGCTCCGGAATTTCCAATCTCTGCTCCAGAGCAGAGGAGCTCTGCGACTTCTCAGCAAGGCAGTTGTCAGATCTGCTTTTCATGTAGGTAGAAAATATTTTTACTATCATTCTGGGAAATAAGCAACTTTTCTTGACGTTTTTAACCGAAAAGGAAAACCACCATTTTGAAGCCAAGAAGGTTATTCCAACCCTAATATCGTCAAAGTTGGCAAAGTTGCCAGCACCTGAAAAATGTCTGAGTAAGAGCAAATCCTGGGGACTCTGATGCTTGAGGGTAGTAGCTCTGCCCACAGTAGGTTACGTGTGTGTGGGGAGGGAAGTTACGATGTGATGTGTCTTGATAAGCACCTGTACCTAAGAATAATTTAAAGAGTGAGCCTTTGGTCATAGATCCTCCTGGATCAAAGTGCCTGCATCGTAATTATTTTAAATGTAATTGGTGTTTGGTCCTAACTTTGTGGCTGCTGCCCCCTTATTTGACTGCTTCTCTATTGGTGTTCTTGCGGCTTTGTTAAGGGGGGCGAATCTCGTGTTTATCCGAATTGGGCTAGCGTCAGGTTTGTAGCGGGTTCCTGGTTTTGCGGTTGGCAGGAGTGGCTCTGTCCGTGAGCTCGGTGTGCGGCGCGGGACTGGTGCGTGATGGTGGCGCACGCTGGACGGGCCCTGCGGCCGGCCCTACTTGCTCTGCGCTCACCGCTGCCTCCTCTCAGTTTGGAGGGCGGCTAGAAGACGGTATCAAAATGGTGCTGTTGTCATGGACCCGGTCTCTCCCCACGCCTGAGCGTGCTCCTTTGTGCAGCTCTGAAGTAACAGCTTGTAGAGGAGCCTGGCTGTGTGGATGCCCTCTACAATCCCCACGCTGAGTCGCGCTCTTCTCTGGGGACGCGTTCCTGTGTGGAAGGGAGAAGTGACGAAACGTCCTGACGACCCTTCCGTAGCCGTAGAGTTCGCTGGAGCCAGGGGAGCTCTTCATTTTCGGGGCTGCTGGGCGCCGCGGCCGCCTCCCATGTGGTGGTGCTGGCGCCTTGGGAGCCCCAGCTGCCTCCTGTGCCTGCTGCGCGGCTCCATCCCCATGGAAACAGGCGCCGAGTCGCTCAACCTGGGCTAGCGGGCTCAAAATCAGCTCCATTTTCATTTCAAACAATGTGCCGGCAGGCTCTGGGCTTACGCACACATCAGGAAATACAGCTGTGTTGTTACACTGCGATAATCCGGAGAGCAGAAACTGGAGGAGTTTGTTGGCCAAACGGTTTGGTGTATGGGGGAATGCTGACGTTTTCCAGTGCTGATCTTGGGCTCCTGCTTGTCTTCCTTGTGGCCTTTATCCTTTGAGCCTGCTCCAGCTGGATGCTGCTGCTCCCAGGCAGAAACTCAGGAAAGGGCAGATTTCTCAGACCAAACTTTTGTTACCAGTTTAGATCACTTCTAAATTAGAAGTATGCTGGAAATAGCTGATCTTTGCTTCCCGTTTTCTGGATGTGTTGATCCCAGTGAATCAGCTTTTCCAGTGGTGCTGAGCACCGATTCTTAGGACCGAGGTTCTCCCGCCATAGTCGTTTATCCCAGGAGCCGGGGCCCTGGGAGAGCCGAGCGCAGCCTCCGGGCTGCCGGTGGCAGCGGAGCGGGGAGCAGGCACATGGGCAGGAGGCAGGAGCAGCACCTGGCTTGAGCCTTTAGCCTCTGCGAGGGTTCCCACCGGAGTCGTGCATCTCCCCTATGACCCCAGGCCCTCAGGGAATGCGAATGTTAGCATGGAAACTTTATGTAGTTTGAGTGTTTTCTGTCGTGTTCTTATTTTTTGGCAAAATCTGATTTTGTGCAAAAATAATTCAGATGTTTGTTTCTGTGAAACGAAGTGCAATATTGTTGGACAAAGGCATCCCTCAAAAGGCAGGATGCAGAGAAGTAATGAATAATTTACATTGTGTTTTTGCAGATAGAGCTTTATTTTCCTGCTTAATTGAGCAGCGCAAACCCTGCATGTAGGCAGAGAGGTGGGGTGTTTGAGCAGTGGGATCGTCGTGCTGGATTTGTCTCCTGCATTAACGTGTGCCATGCCCGTGCACGTTGGCTTCAGCCACTGGAGTGGTTTTGTGTTTGGGTAAATGCCTCACGCACACCAGAAACACTGGCAGAGCGGGCACGAATCAAGCCCCAGAAAAGGCAGG